GCAGTTGTGTTGACTGCGACCAAAACTCCCGCCGCTGACCTGCCTTGTCTACCGCCACCTCTGTCGTTATTCCGACCACCCTTGTTGCCGCCTCGTTGATTCCGGCCACCACCTCTATTGCCGAAGTTGTGAAAGAAGATCGATTTTGGTGCTCTGTTGCGAGGATAGTGGCTGATGACGCATGATCCTGATGGGAAGCTTGAATTTGGCGTGAATAATCTTTTGCCATGGATTGTTCTTCAAGAGTGAGAATGGATCTCAATTCAAGAAAAGTGGTAAGAGGTTTCTGGTGGCGGATAGTGGGAATAACATGGGCATATATTTTGGAAGATAACCCATTGATAGTATAAATCGCTAAATTGCGTTCGGGCACCGGGGCTCCAATATTGGTAAGTAAATTGAATATGGATTTGATCTTGGTACAGTATTCTATAATGGTGGAATCACCAATAGTTATGTTACACAATTCATCATCTAATTCAATGGCTTTGGTTCCTTTGTTTTCATGGAATAATACTTGAATAGTGTTCCAAACTTCAGCAGCAGTGGTGTCGGGTTTGATGATAGCTTGAAGAACAGGTTGAGAGAGGGTAGCGTACAACCATTGTTTGACAATGTTGTGAACAGTCTCCCACTCCGGATCAGTGGATGTGTTTGATGATGATGATCCATCTAGATGATCATACATTGTGTACCCAATGCAGTGAGTTTTCATTATCTCCTTCCAAGAATCATAATTCAAGCAATCCAAATCAAGAATAAGGGGAACATAGGATTTTATATTAGTGATTCCGTAGATGCGATCTGTGGGGTTGAGTTGGACGCCACTTGAGATGTCGTCTGTCATGAAGAAGAAGAGGAGCTATGAAGAGAGGGTGATCGAGAAGAGCGAGGCTTGAATCGGCTAGGGTTGAGGAGGCCTAATACCATGTTACAAAGGTAATTTTCCCATGAAGAGGCATATAGCCTATACGTGAATATATATAAGAAATATACAATTGGGCTCAATGTATAAGATTGGGCTAACTAAAAAATAATATAAAAATACATATGACGTCTAACATGAACAAATCTAGCAGGTTTAAGAGCAACAATCCACCATGTAATTTTATCTCTCACATTATACCATCATAGCGTACTTGGATATGCTACTATTCGTGAAATCGTAGTACATCACTAATTCATTATTATGTGGATCCTGAAAATTTTAACTATGCTGGTGACGATGATGTTGCTACATGTGATTATGATGTTGGTACACATCATGTTAATGATTCACGAGAAACACTTCAATAAATATTTTTGTTTCGCGTTATCCGACCTAGAAAAAAGTAATTATGATATTGTTCTTGGATATGCTATCATTCTTGAAATCGTAGTACAATTGCACAACGTTTATAACACTTTGAATCACATTTATCAAGTGATAAACATCACTATCATGAACTATGCATAAAACATAGAGAATTTCAGGATGTTGGAAAGGCAAACTAATATCTAATTTATCTTCCGAACTTTTCTTTTTCAGCAAATACAAAAAATAAAAAAAATTATATTTTCTGAAAATTGTATTCCCTAATTCTTAACGAAAGACCTAACATATTTTGGTTGATAATCAACAATCCCATGCTTTCTACCGGTACAAATGACAATGAAAACTCACTGGAATGTGTACACATGGTTTTTTTAGTTAACATATTGGAAACACTACATTATATAAAAAAAATTATGTACTTTTTTGTAGTAAAACTCCTAGAAATCGTAAGTCAATGTTTCATAAACCGTAGTCAAAGTTTCAAAATCTTAGTACTGAAAAAAAAATCAAAATTGTAACTATGTCCTTAAGGAATTCGTCGCACATGAGGCTAAGGATATCCTGATGCCGTCTGTGCCGTTTGTCAGGACAAATATGAAAATTGGATTTTTTTTTTAAATATTAAAGACGAAACCCGAGCCCATTAACGTAATCGCACCACATGAGCCTACACCTATGATTTCAATGGCTATTTGAATCATTTTTTAATTTATTTGGGTAAATCTTGGAAAATGAGTAGGAAATTAGGTCTTGAGTTTGAATGATATGTATATATGTTTGTTACTTTCATTTTGAGTTTTTATTAGTTTCAAGTTAGTAAAAGTTTCTTGATGATAAATATGTAATATTTATATGACAAATTGTTTGTTTAAAGAAAAAAGCCACTTAACCAATATCATTTTATTTGCTTTTTACATCACTAAACTTCTAACTGGCCATCAATTTTTTTTTTGGTTTTATTATATCAGTGACCTCGTGGACATAAACGGTTAGTACACGCGGTAAAAAACTTCAATGGTAAAATAAAACAAAACAGTTTGTTGGTGAACTGAATAAGATTAGAAGTTTAGTGACTTGAAGAACACATGGAGTATTATTGATGTCCAATTTATGACATTTCCATTTTACTTCACAACTAAACCATTCTATTTGTTTTTATAGCTAGAGTTGACTAGCGATTGAATAGTTGTGGTTTTATACTTAGACAATCCAAGTTTCATTATATTAATGTTATATATAATCCAAGTTTCATAATATTAATGTTATATATGTTTAGTCCTGTCTCTCGACATTTAAAAACTTAGAGGGTGTCTGGGATATCTTTTTACCTTCAAAAGTCCTTTTTGTAAAATGACTTTTTGTAAAATGACTTTTTACAAAATGTGTTTTTAAAAATGTGTTTGGATTAGCTTTTGAGATGCAAAAGTCAAAAGTTTTTTTTAAAAGTTTTTGGTTTAACTTTTACACGTAAAATGACTAAAAAGGACATGCTTACATGTTTACAATTATTTACTACCTTACATATACTATTTTATACTTAACAATTTTTTTTAAACACATTATAATTTTGTAAACATTTTATTAGAAAATATAAAATATAAATTTCTTTTAAATATTCCTAATTTTTTTATTAGACCATGATAATATTAAAATTACGTTCATACAAATTGTAAATAATTCATAAAAAATATCATAGATAATATTATATTCATCTTCGCAATGTGATTATATCTTATGCAATAATATCTTGTATCGCTGCCATATATGAATCATCATCACTCATGCGATGTGTACTTGGACCTTCTTCGTAAACTTCACTACTAGTATCACCTCGTATGAGATTTTAGGATTCTTTTTGTGTCGTATTAAACGCTTCATCAAACCTACCAATCTTTCTAATGTAGTTATGGATCGCCATCGATGCTATCACAATTTTCACTTGGTTCTTGTACTTGTAATTAACATGCATATCTCTTAATAACACCCATCTAGCTTTCCACACTCCAAAAGTTCGTTCAATGATATTTTGCAATGATGAGTGGAGATAGTTAAATTTCTCTTTCGGTCCACGAGGTTCACGAATAGCAGCTGTGTGTCCACGTCGAAAATCTGGTAAATGATAACGAATATTTATGCCTTTGTATGGAGCAAGATACCCTCTAGTATTTGGATATCCGGCATCAACAACGTAATATTTATCTGTAAATAAAACAAACAAATTATTTTTTCGTTTAAAAAAAGTAGTAAAAATATAAAACTTGTGTTCCAAAAAAAATATACTAACCACCCGTTGGATATGGAAAATTAAGATCAGGTCTCTGTCTCTGTAAGGCTTCATTTTTTTTGGAACACAAGTTTTATATTTTTACTACTTTTTTGAAACGAAAAAATAATTTGTTTGTTTTATTTACAGATAAATATTACGTTTTTTATGCCGGATATCCAAATACTAGAGGGTATCTTGCTCCATACAAAGACACAAATATTCGTTATCATTTACCAGATTTTCGGCGTGGACACACGGCTGTTATTCGTGAACCTCGTGGACCGAAAGAGAAATTTAACTATCTCCACTCATCATTGCGAAATATCATTGAACGAACTTTTGGAGTGTGGAAATCTAGGTAGGCGTTATTAAGAGATATGCATGTTAATTACAAGTACAAGAACCAAGTGAAAATTGTGATAGCATCGATGGCGATCCATAACTACATTAGAAAGATTGGTAGGTTTGATGAAGCGTTTAATAGGGCACAGCAAGAATCCTAAAATCTCATACGAGGTGATACTAGTAGTGAAGTTTACGAAGAAGGTCCACGTACACGTCGCACGAGTGATGATGATTCATATATGGCAACGATACGAGATATTATTGCACAAGATATAATCACATTGCGAAGATGAATGTAATATAATCTATGATATTTTTTTATGAATTATTTACAGTTTGTATGAATGTAATTTTAATATTATCATGGTCTAATAAAAAAAATTAGAAATATTTAAAAGAAATTTATATTTTATATTTTCTAATAAAATGTTTACAAAATTATAATATGTGTTTAAAAAAAATGTTAAGTATAAAATAGTATATGTAAAGTAGTAAATAATTGTAAATATGTAAACATGTCCTTTTTAGTCATTTTACATGTAAAAGTTAAACCGAACACTTTTTAAAAACAACTTTGGCTTTTGCCTCTCAAAAACTAATCCAAACAAATTTTTAAAAACACCTTTTGTAAAAAGTCCTTTTACAAAAAGTTTTTTTTACAAAAAGGACTTTTGAAGGTAAAAAGATATCCCAAACACCCTCTTACCTGACTTTTCAAAACATTCATTTTCCTTCTATTTGAAAAGTTGTTTTTAAAAGATATTTTCACTTTACCAAACATCTTTTAGCTCTTTTTTAACTTTTAGGAAAAGATAAAAGCTAAAAGTTGTTTTAAAAGATAAAACAAACACCCGCTTAATTGCAAAAAATGATCTAATGAATTGGAATTTCGTTTGTTCGAATTTGATTTTAATCTAGTGCGGACTATAGGATCCATATTATGAAAAACTAAAATCAGTTTGAATTCATTTGATTGGATTAGATAGGATCGATCAATCTAAACAAACACTCATGCATATAGTCATGATGGTTATATATATAATTCTTTTGAAATTGGTCCACGACATGGTGCAGGTGGCTATAATTTCAGGACAAGGACCATATGTGGAAACTGTGAGAAAAGCACAACTAGGAATAAAGCTTCGGAATGTAAGGTGTGTGGATGCCAAGGGCTTGCAGTTGCTACCAGATAATTTGCATCTTAGCACCGCAGCTCAAGTGCGTCTTGGTCGGATGTTGGCCAACTCCTTCCTAAAACTCTAAGCAATAGAACGACTTCCACCTAAGTTTTTGCTACCATAATGTTAGGAAAATTATATGGAGTGTACTCTCTTTTGGTGACTATATGTATTTTCTTGGAATTCAAACTTGTGTGTTTGATAGGTTGAGTAACGACTTTTTGTGGATAATTTTTTGGTGTTCAAATGAGTCACGCACGACTTGTCTTTTGTTTTAATATTTTAGATTATTAATGTGTTAGATATATTATAAAAGTTAGTTGTTTTTTTTATTTATTATTTTTTTCGACTTTATATTTTGATTTTTCTTCGTTTTAGAATAAATATTTTTTCTTCAAATAAGACTCAAATTTTAGGTATTACTTGTTATTTTACCCCACAGTAGGTTACAAACAATAGACAGTTAAGTTTCTTTTTTTTTTCTCTACGGTTTAATATTTTTTTTTCAATTATAAAGCTACAACTATTTTTTTTCAAAATAAACCTGATATTCCTTGCCATTTCATTAATGGAGCCGGTTATCAACATGTAATCTTGCAACATTAAATCACATCCCTCCACCATTGTACGGATGGAGGATATCAGACATTTGCTTCATGTTGGATGTTGCAAAGGTTAAAAGTAGGGGTGGAATTGGTACGGTACCGGGTATTTTTTTCACAAACCGTGTACCGTACCAATTATAATTGGTATGTAGTTTTAGTTACCACTACCGTACCAAGTATAGTTGGTACCAATTTAATTGGCTACCAGTAAGTTCGGTTGGTACATGTTGGTAATGGTATAAACCAACATGTATGAGTGTTTTACGAATTAAGATTTATGTGTTATTGTGCACTTAAAAGATACATGTGGGTTTTGTAAATAAGAGTTTTCTGAATGGTTGGATTGGAAATTTGATACAAAAAGATTTTATAATTTTTTACCATGAGTTTAAACTAAACAATAGAGTAAATGGGATATGTTAATATGAGTTTAAACTTTAAAAGCTACTAGACTGTAAATGCTAATATCAAAACACTTTAACTCTTAACCGTCAAAGACATTTAAAGTTAAAATATACAATATTTTGTATATATGAAAAATAACTTGGTTGGTACGGTAATACCGTGACATTTAAAACCTTGTACCACTACCGTACCATTATTAATTAATTGGTACGGTACTACCAACCAAATATGTTGGCTACCAAACATATTGGCTACCAATATAATTGGTGCGGTTGGTACACATGTTGGTTGGTTTTCCATGGTACATATTTGCCACCCCTAGTTAAAAGTAGCTAGTGTCTGAGATCCTGCATCATACAATACCAAATAAATTTAGTACTCATTATAAAACATTGATAAATACTTGAGACATAATAAGCTTAAAGATAAAAAAATAACAACTTACTTACAAAATTGTCCAAGTACATTTTTTAAATAAACATGCCATCACACCTTGTGAAAATCATATCGAGACAACATTTGAATTCATATTAAGTCGTCTAAAAACAACCTTGGGGAAGGAGGTATATAGAGGAGCTTCATCCTCATTATAATAAAATTTCATTACTGTATTTTTTTTGTTAAGTTTATGTTCCTAACTGTTTTGATAAAAAATTGATCAAGTATTATTCAACCAAATTGTATGAGATGTTGTGGTGTTTAAGGTGATGCAAGTATCAAATAATGATCAAAGTAAGACAAGTGAGTTACAAGGAAAGCCCTTGACCATTTATAGGATCTCCGACATAAAACATTGGGAGGTGATAATGATTACCTGCCTTGTTTGTTTTTGTTGATTTGAATGTGAGATTACAGAAATGGTGATGATAATACAAATACAAATGCAGTAGTAAGCTAATTGTGTCCATAGTAGGTGTATTACATGTGTGTTTATAGTCTAGACTAAATAACAATAAGTCCGATATTTCCGAGATCCTCTTGAATGAGCATATGCACGTTGTTTGGCTTGATATTCCTGGGTCTTAAGCCTGGTTGAAGCGATTCCTCTTTGAGAATGAGTCTTATGTTGACTATTTCTACACATGTGAGAAATAGAAATAGAAATATATATGTTAAAAGTGTTAGGGAATAATAATCAAAATAGTCAGGATCCTAAGGAGTGTTTGAGATCCTGAAAGATCTTGAAGATACGGGATCCTGAATAGGGTTGAGGATCTTGGCCCTAACAATTGCCCTAAAATTATACCTACGAAATATCTAGGTTAACTTCAAATATTCAAAGGTAAAATTTTAAAATAAAGAGAGAAATATAGATTCTGAAGTTTAACGGATAGGGTAATTTGAATCCCAACGGATATATTGGTAGCCGTTGAAGCGAGCATAGTAATCTATCAAATCACCCTTCTACCTTTCCATGATTCTTATATAAATAGGATGTTCAATTTTTTGATTTTGCCTTAATCATTTATCTCTCTTCCATACGTTCATTAAATACCATCGAAGGTACTATCCTCATTTCTTTTTTCCTTATCTTTTTTCATCTTTAATTATGGGCAAAAAAGCAACACGTTCTCATACAAACATCATCGCTGTTCATGAAGATGATTTCATGGATCAGAAAGCTTTGTCTTACGAGGATACTTGTACCTCTGATGACAACGATGACTTTTCCCGCCGATACTGGTTTTAGACCTTTTGGTGCAAGGATTCAACTAGATTTTGTTTCTTCCTCTTGGGTCTGTTTTCCCAATATTATTTATGAATTATTTGAGATTACCATAGTCTCGTATATTCAAGCCATGCCAGCGGTTTGGAGGATCCTTTACTGGATCGATCGACTGAACCGCTCCATGGATCTTAGTATCAGTTTGAATGAGTTGGCTTATGTTTATGATCTTTCGACCTTTGGGAATTCTTGTTTGTTGCTGAAAGTTAAGACTGATAAACCACCCCTCATTATGAAATCCAAGCATAATGGTGGTGGTTGGAAAGAAAAATACTTCTTCGTGAAACGCGACTCCATCCCAGATGGAAATCTCTTGCCACAATCTTGGGTTAAAAAGGGTAGGGTTTCATATTTGTATACTAAGGATCCTGGTATTCACACTTCTTATTTTGTTTGATTTTTTTTTGCAGCTTTTAAGTTTGAAGAACTTGTTCCTCCCACTGAAGACACTGAAGATATGATTGAGAATTTCCTTGGCTTGCCCAAGATTGAGAGAATATTCAACTTTGATTATCCTAGCCACCCAGAAAGTTCAACTACCATTATTCCCATGACTACATCCTCAATTTTATTTCATTTCTTATGAAGGATCCTGAATTGATAGAACTTTTTTTTGCTATGCTTAGGATTCAAGTCTACTCGTTCTGGTGCACGATTTACCCTTGTTGATCTTGATTCTGTCATGTCCAGTGACTAATTGGTAGTCAAGAAAGAAAAGTCCTCTCTTCTTTGCAAGAAAGCTCCCATATATTTGTCTGTCAAAAATCCAGGATCCCAAAAGATTGATACGGACCCATCCCATACTAGGCTGTATCATGCCATAAGCCCAAGTCTAGAACTCACTCCCAAAAGCCAGCTTGTAGGATGAGGGGACACCTAGACTTATAAGCCACCAACTTATAGTACTTTCGGCCGATGTGGGATCATAACAATACCCCACACTTTGAAGAGCCAACGTCCTCGTTGGTCACGGTTGGCACCCCTTTTTGGTCCAAGCCACCACTTCGAGTCATTGTTGGTCACGGCTACGTTGGTCACGGTTGGCACCCCTCTTTTTGGGTCCAAGCCACCACTCCGTAGGCCACCACTCCAAGTGTTGGCACCTCGAAAGATGGGGTCGGCTCTGATACCAATTGATACGGACCCATCCCTAAATAGTAGCTGCGAGACCTCCCGGTTTTTGTTGGAAATTTTGCCACTTTTCACCCCTAATTTAATATTTGAGCTACTTCCACTTCCCCCGAAGCCCGAGATTATTTCCAAAGCCCGAAACACGCTCCGAAGTTCCCGAAGACCCCGAAAAATTTATCTTTTCGGTTTTGAAGCCCAACCCTCGCAAGGCCCGGTTTTCAAGAAAACTCCCGGTTTTCAACGAAGAAAGCTAATTATAGTAACGAAGTGCTGCCCAAATTACTATTTTAACCCCCGGTTATTTCACGGTGAGTTTAATATATAGGAACAATTGTATGTTATGTGTTATATGTGCTATGTGCTTTTCAGTGTTATTATTCCGGGTTATTTTCCCGTGTTATTTTTATTCCTGCTATTTATGATAGCAAAGCTATACCTTTGACCATGTGATCAGTGAAAGGACTTAGATTCACGGTGGTACTGGTACGTAGCCTCTGGCCATGTAGAGCATGTCTCCGTAAGAGAATGACTTCTATTCTATGGCATTGGCAGATGGTTAGACAGGGCTCTAAGCCTGAAATCTACCGAAATGTTTAAATCAGAAAGTGTATGTCTTCTGTGCCATTTGGGCCGAAGCTTTATTGATATATATCAAGTATAGAAATTGTCATGTCTCATTGATCGTATATCCTTGAATCAAATCATTGATTGATATGGAAAGTTTGTCACATGATTCACATATTCCTTTGTTATTCCATGTTTCTCTTTGCTTCTGCCATATTGAAGTATATATATGGCATAACGTTATATTGTATCTATTATTGAACTCACTAAGCGTCACCGCTTACCCCTCTTAGTGTTTAACAATTGCAGGAGATAAGTAACCAGTATGGTTATATACTGTCGGAAGATGTAGAATAGTTTTTACTATTACTTTTGTATTTCAGTTTATGTTTGTATAAAATTACAATATCTTGGGTAGTTATGTAAAATATTATAATATAGTCGGTTTGTATCCAATCTTCTGTAATCACTTTATCAATGTAAGATATTGTTTTATAAATATGCATGTAGCATGTTTTGGAGTAACAATTGTCAAGTATGAAAGTTTGGGTCTTTCAGAAATCCTAAGGTTTAGAAAGGGGATCTTTCAATAGCCACCCGAACAGATGATCCTAATCTAAAGCCACAACCAAACAGGGAACATGCAAGAAAGCG